CTGGCCGGTGGCGATGGCTCTCGCCAGCCATCGAAGCTCGAACTGACGGTTGCCACCACGCAGGGCAAGTCGTTCGCTGAGGTAGCCAAGAAGCTGGCCGCTTAATGCATGTAAATGTTAGATTCATCTCAGTTCTGCCGATTTGAATTTAATGAAAACCCGTATTACCTTTACGCTCTTACTTACTGTGTTCTCGATAGTTCAAACTTGCTACATTTCACTTAAATTCATGGTGGGAGTAATCCGGAGATGAATACATGTTACAGCTCTCGGCAGGGTGCGCACCAATATATATGTACAGCTCTGTGCCTGTATTGTCGGAGCGCAAGCCTCTCAGAAAGAAATCCAGTTAGCCACACCATGGTAAGTAGATTCGACTCCAGTAATCCCTTTAAGTGTTGATGATTGAACGAGAACGGTAGCCAAGCAGTAGGATTTGGTAGGCGCAACACCATTGGCATTCTTTCTGATTCCACCTCGAGGAAAGATGGCGGTTCTATACTGTGCTTTTATCATACGTGGCACCAGTAGTGTGTTCGAGATTGAGTTCAATGATGCTAACCGGTTTCTGCGTTGAAGGAGACGATCATAAAGAAACGAAGACATCAAGATACCTGCGCGCGGCCTGCAGCTTTTGGCCACGTTCTAAATCATGGTTGCGATCGATGATAAGGTCACCGCAAATTAATATTCGCAGCGGCCCATAATCAAAGCAGTTCGTCAACGGCGCGAGTTGGCGCCGATGACGAACCCCAAGATTGTGAAGCTTACCTTTCCTTTCTTCGAGCACCCACATCAACATGTTCACTTTTAAATATACCTTATCTCTCTCAAGTCAAGCTCTCCTTTCCAACCAACCACTATGGCCAAGATCGCTATCGTCTACTACTCCACCTACGGCCACATCGCCCAGTTGGCCGAGGCCGTCAAGAAGGGTGTCGAATCCATCGCAGGTGTCACCGCCGATATCTACCAAGTACAGGAAACTCTGCCTGACGAGATTTTGGCTAAGATGTACGCCGCCCCCAAAAAAGATCACCCCATCGCCACGCCGGAGACTCTGAAGGAGGCTGACGGCATCCTGTTCGGCTTCCCCACGCGCTTCGGCTCGCTACCAGCGCAGATGAAGGCGTTCT